TTTCTGCTCTCAGCCATTCCCATCTAGAGAACAGTGCTGTTTCACAAACCTGTGGAATTTCTTATTGTAGAATCTCCAAATTAAAAGCTAAGGTGCTTGGTGATTATATTGCCTCTTCCTTTCTCTTCTTTTAAATTTTATATATCTATGCCTAACACTAATCTAGCATTTATTATATTTATTATATTCCAAGAATGCTTCCAAAGCCCGTTCCATATATTATTCATGTAATATTCACAATGATCCTGAGAGAGATACTATTATTGTTCAATTAGGGATACTGAGACACAGAGAGGTTAAGGAACTTGCCCAGAGTACACAGTTTAAGGAGAAGAATGAGGGTATGAATCCAGGAAGTCTAGTTCCAGGGTCGGCATTCCTATTCAGGCTTTATCCTACTTGACTTAGCAGGACTTGGCACAGCTGATCATTCACTGGTGCACCAAATCCTTTCTTTACTTTACTTCCAAACCATCTCATTTACTGGTTCTCATCCTGCCTTTCTGCTGCTCTGTCTCAGTCTCCTTTGCTCGTTCCTCCTTAGCTCCTGGACTTCCAGAAGTTGGCATGACCCAGAGATGAGTATTGGACCTATTCTCTGTACTCAGTCCTTAAATGATCTCATCCAGTTTCACAGCTTAAATATCATCTCTATGCTGATAACTTCCGAGTCAATACCTCCTGCCTGGAACTCTCCCATGAAATTAAGACTCATATACCTACCTGTCCATTCAACTTCTCCATGTGAAATCTAAAGGGCAGCTCAAAATCAACATGCACAATACTGAGCCTCTGCTCTTCTTCTATAAACTCATTACTCCTCAACTATTTTTCAAGTTACCCAGGCCCAAAACCAGGTGCCATCTTTGACTCCTTATTTTCTCCACCACAACACATCTAATCAGTCTGCAAAATACATACAAGATTCTACCACTTTTCACCATCTCCACCATCACCAGTCTAGTCCAAGCCAGTATCATCTTTCACCTGGATATTGCAGTGGCTTCTAACTGGTCTCCCTGCTTCTCCCTTTGCCCTTCTACCGACTAGAACCAGCTAGACTTAAGTGAGGCAAGTAAGCTACTCGCTTCCAATACAAAATTTAAGGTGGCACCAAAAAACTCGGTAATCACAACAAATGATATTTTAACGCAATATTTAAAAAAACAAAACCAATGCAAAAAATCCATAATGAGCAAAACAGAAAATTTTTCAATAAAAACAGGACCAGGCCCTGTATTTGCATTACTTACCTCCAATCCCTCCTCCTCGTTGTCCCAGCCCTGACTCACACCCTTCCATGTATTTCCAACAGTCAGAGAGTGATCCTGTGAAAACATAAGGAAAATGTTGTCAATGCTCTGGTCGCACATGTCAGAGCAAAAGCCAAAGTTCTTACTGGGACCAACAAGATCCTTCATGATCCGATCAGACATTATCCCTCTGACCTCAGCTCCCACTTCTTTCCTCATTCTCTCAGCCCCATCCTCTACCACACTGACCTCTTTGCTAATCCAACAACAAGCTCCCAGCTCAGTCCTTAATCTTGCCAGGCCCTCTACCTAGAACGCTCTACCCCAGGTACATCCCTCGCTTCTAGGTCTTTCTCAAATTCACTCTATCAGGACCACACTATTTGTTTGCCCACCCACAAACAAACACTTTACATTCCTCTTCTACTCTTGGCTTTTTCCCGTGAGAAATTGTCATATTTGACTTATTTTTATTAATATATTAGTTGTACATATTTTGGGGGTACATGTGATAATTTGATACCTGTATACAATGTATAATGATCAAATCAGGGTAATTGGGGTATCCATCACCTCAAACATTTATTCTTTGTGCTGGGAATATTACAAATCTCTCCCAGCTATTTCGAAATAGTCAATAAATTATCATTAACTATAATTTCCCTATTGTACTATGAAATACCAAAACTTATTGCTTCTATTACTAACTGTATTTTTGTATCCCTTAACCAACTTTTCTTCATCCCCCTCCCTTCATCCCTTTCCAGCCTCTGGTAACCACCATTCTATACTTTCTACCTCCATGAGATCTACTTTTTATATTTTATTAATTGGTCTTATTATTATATCTCTCTCACTTATAAAACTCCATGAGATATTTTGGGGGAGGGGTCTGTTTTGTTCTTGGCTACATCCCTAATGTCTTGAAAATTCTTAGAAAATAGTAGATACACAATAAATAGTTTTTGAAGTAATAAATGATAAATAGGAGTGCTTTCCTCTACCTCTAAGGGTCTTAATGCTCACCCTATATTGGTTTTAAATTCTATTTCCTCAATCAATTACACTGGGGACTGCTCTTTTACAATTCAGTAGTCTCAGATCTAAAGAATTTACAAAGTGCTAAGTTAGAGAATGTATTGCAAAACCTTTATTTCAAATTAACCAAGGTTTTAACAAAAGTTTGACTTGCTTAAAAAAATGTTTATCTGGGATTCAAGTTCTCCCCATAGATTAGTTCAACACTGGGAGAGATGATTGTTTTTGAGAAATAAAAATTAAAGATCAAGTGTCTCTCATAGCAAATTCTGAATTTTATTTCCATGTTCTGATTTCCAATGATTTGGGACTATATTGAGAAGTCACAGATTTTCTCAATAACTTCAGAGTGAATTTATATGTGATCAAAAGACCTTTCTGATGTCAAAATACCTTTAATAACCTTTACTAATTATTAACTAAAACTAAAGGTGGTTTTGCAAATACAAACTTGTCGTTTCACCATGAACTGTTACCTTTTTGATGGAAAAGGTGAAATTCAGCAAAGAGCAAATCTACAACTTGGCCAAAAGATTATAAACTTTGCCTTCAAAGAGCTATAATAGAAACATAAATAAGCCCATCAGACCCCACCCACAGCCTCCCTGCTCTTGCAAGTTAAATTCAGCACAGTGGGACAGTTTGAGAATGTCCTGATGAAAAGACAATTTTAGCAACATTTGGGGAAAGTGCAAGAGTTCGACTTTTGTCTTAAAGACTAATTTTCTTTGTAAATTTTCAAAATGCCTTTGTTTTAAAAGGATTTATACTGTTTCATGGAGATTTCTATGACTGTATTCACCAGCAATTTAGGGTTATAAACTGAATACAGGTCTGTTTACCCCTAAATTGTAGTATCCATAGAAAAGACATTTACATTGTAAATGAATCAGTAAAGCTACTTTTCCCAACTCAGATTGCAACATGTATTAATATATCAAATCACTCCTATCAGAACAAATCTTTGTCTTAGCCAAGATACAAGCTCAAGACTTTTTTAAAAAGAAAAAGCTGCTGCCTTTTGCAAAGCATAGACACTGAAACTGGCATGTTAATTTACTGAGTTAGCAGACTGCCCATAAAACACGATGCCCTAAAGCTGGGCACAGGACATAGCTGGCATACACAGCACTAACGATATACTTCTTGAAATAGTGAATGACCACAAACTGAACTGACCTGGGTCAGGAACAAGCAAGAATCATCAGAAAAATCAAAGGCAGGCCATACTTATATGCAGAGGATGACATTGTTCTATCCCTATAACAGGTGAATAAATAGTCTCCCTCTGGAATCTCATATTTTTTCCTTTGGTTTTCTAATATCAAAAATATTACTTTCTAAATGATACTTGTTTATTAGTTTGGGGACTTTTTAAATTCTACTACTTTAGTAATAAAAGACTACTATTACTATTGTTACTAATACTAGTATTAATAGTCCTAATAATCTTGCTATTACTAATGGTAATATTCTATTACTATTCCATTACTTAAGTAATAGCAATTTTAGTAATAAAATACCTTGAAGCTTTGTTTTTTTTTGAAATGATCACTTTGGCTTCATTTTTTTCTGTCATCCAATTTTTGATCCAGTTTCCCATGCTATTAATGGCCTTTTCATTCTGAGTCTTTAAATGACAATGAAAAGCAGTATAGGAAATCACAATGCACGTGACAGAAAATTTTCAAAAGGACCTATAGTCAAATATATTAGAGTTGCATTTCGATTCAAATCATTATAAAACACATTTCCTGTGTGCTGGTCAGCGGAGCACAGTAAGCGGAGTGAAGACCCAGCATAGAGCCTTCGCTGTACCACTCTCACCCGAACCCAGCAAGTCTTGTGTCCACCTGTGCCCATGCGAGCCCCCAGGGCCTCACACCGCCACAGCCTAGAAGCTTCAGAATGGCCATTATCCTTGTCCTGGGAACCTGCGCATTTGAGCAACCATCACATGCGACATGTGGTTCAAATCATGTTCCCAAAATAGAAAGTATAGACGATGGAATGCTGAAATTATATATTCCTGTATACAGACACAAACATCAACATATGTAAACTTGCAACATTTCTTAGATTTTACAAAGGTTTTCATGTATTCTACTGAGTGTGTATGTGGTATATGATCTGCGTGTTAGAAAGCCCTTCCCACACTCACTCAAAAGCATCCCTTGTTCTTGTTTTTTTCAAAATCTATGTCACATTTTTATCAAATATAGTAGTTTACATGGTGACTTTTGCATGTAAGATGCCAGCACACTCTGTTCTAGAAATCTATCTTCGGAGAAGAAGTAAATGTCTCAGGTAACACAGAGACTAGAAAAAGCTCAATCTCAGAGAGTTTTAACGCCCTGTCTTGAGTGCCCTCTTCCCACATCTGTAAGATCCTTCATATTCTTTTAATAGGCGTGAGAAAATTTGTTCTGAAGCACTTGATAACATCCTGAGATAAGAGGATTGAGAATTACTGATCTGCCTACTAGTTGGAGAACGGGTATTATTTGGTTTTGACTTCTAAATTTCAACTAATATTGAACATTTTTTTAAAAAACTCCTTAAGAGTACATCTACCTGGCCTCATTTGTGTGTAGTTGTGAGTTGCTTTAACCTTAATGACTTATTTATAGAGAATGTTTCCTGAAGATGAAGGACAAGTTTGGACTTGGCAACAGTAATTTACCTAATTTATCTTAAATTTGGTTTCAGTGAGCAACCCTAATTAACCTGATTTTTTGCTGATAATCACTCTCAATGGAATCAAATCACAAATCCGGGGATGGATTGAGCGGCACCCAGAAGGAAGCAGCCCTCCGCGCACTGGTCCAGCGCACAGGATATAGCTTGGTCCAGGTAGGACTTTCTTGTGACATCTGCTGAGACTCATCGCTAAATTCACACAATGGTGTGAATATTAGAGGTCCTAAGGTGTAAAACGTGAAGGGTCACTTCTGTAACTCTTTAAATGGATGTCCCTTTCCAAAAGAGATAGAAATTGTATCACTGCAGTTTTGTAAGTGATCTTCTTTCCACTCTGGGTTATCAACGCAACCTTGTCATTTGAAAACAGAATGTGTCTACAGTCATAGAGACTATCACAAAAAGACAGCTGGAATTTGCCATCCAAGGCTGTGAAGTAGAACCAAGCTATTGTTTCAGAAATCAACAGTGAATAAACAACCTAGGAACTAACCTTAGTTTTCAGAGAGATCATTGCAAATATGGGAAGACTTCTAGATGTGGGGTTCTAGGAATTAAACATTTTGTCAGCCTACCTATTGCAGTTTGTTTTCTCAGAACAGCTACCCATCCAGTCTAGGATTTGTAGCACTGTCTATATGTAGCACCTTTGAAAAGGAAAACAGAAAAAAGTTAGAATCTTAAAACTTTATAGAAACTTCTTAATTACTTTATAGAAAGTAATCCTAAAACAATATCAATTGTCCATTTAATTTTATTCTGGTTACTCATTCTTCCTTTTCCCCCAGATAAAATTCAGGGCAAACTATATAACATGTCTATTTATAGATATGTCTTTATGACAATATCTATTTATAGACGGTGGTTTTTAGAAATTATCTATATATTGTCTTTATAACTTCTTTTAGAGAACTTGTGAAGCATTAGAAAGTAAACTATATA